GCCAATAAAGAATTCTATTCTATTCTATTCTATTCTGTTCTGTTCTGTTCTGTTCTGTTCTAGTCTAGTCTAGTCTAGTCTAGATTTGCTAAACATGCTTATACATAATTAAACTCAGTTTTATAACACAGTGCATCACACTGTAGTAACATGCAATCAAATACTTTATGTTTCAGTGAATTATAGAAACACAGCTGGATAATGGCAAATTTTCCATGTAGGCTAATGGATGCTTCCTAAGTACATACATTAATTTCTATTTAATAAAAGGAAAGCCTGCCCAAAATCCATAAAATATCCATTGATGACAGTTGTAATTATTTCTTTCTGAAACAGACACAGGTGAAGATCCACGTCAAGATGAAACTTGGAGTCATTTTGCTATGTGTTCTTCTGTACCTTACCACTGGAGGCTGCGATCGGGTATATGTTCACCCCTTTTTCCTGGTTGACTTTAACAATAGCAATGCCAACAGCTGCAAGGAGCTGGGAGAAAGAGAACCGCTGGTGAAGACATTTGTTCCCCTCTCAATTGAGTCCCATTTCACTTCAACATATGAAGAGAGTCTGAGGAACAAGAGTGAGGAAGAAGAGAAACGCCTGGGTGTGAACTTCTTAAAAGACCCCATTTCTATTCTTGGTGCCCGTTTTTACAAAGAGCTGAAGAAAATACATGAAAACAGCAATATTATCCTCTCTCCTATATTCATATACGAGTCTCTATTATCCATTTATTTAGGGGCTTCTGGAGAAACAGCAACCAATCTGCAGATTTTATTAGGGTTTAACCCACCATCCAGTGACTCACATTGTACCTTCAAAATAGATGGACATAAAGTTCTCTTTGCCCTGAAGATCATCCTGAATGCTCCCTTACGCTTCAGGGACACAGAGGGACTGATTTTCTCCAAGCTGTTGTGCCTTTTCTCTGCTCCTGGTGCCCATTTATCTGAGTCTTTTGTCCATGAATTGGCCTTTCCAGATGTTAATTTCCACATTCGAGCTGTGGATTTCACCAACCCCACAGAGGCAGCAAAACAAATAAATGCATTTGTCGAAAGCAAGAGCGCACACAGAATCAAGGGTCTTCTGGCTGACATTGATCAGGAAACCACCCTGCTGTTGACAACTTACACTCATTTCAAAGGTACCTAACAGGGAATTGCCACAGAGTAAGACCAATGACAATCTTAGAAAGGAGCAGATCGGGGGAAAATAATAATAATAATAATAATAATAATAATAATAATAATAATAATAATAATAATAATAATAATAATAATAATAATAATAATAATAATAATAATAATAATAATAATAATAATAATAATAATAATAATAATAATAATAATGGCACAAACCAGCAGTGGTAATTCCAGTGGTAATTGGCACACTGGGTGCGATTCCAAAAGCACTGGAATTACATTTAAAACAGTTAAAAATTGACAAAATCACCATCAGTCAAATGCAAAAAGCCGCACTGCTTGGATCTGCACGCATATTACGAAAATACGTTACGACGTCCTAGGCCCCTGGGTGGGGCCCGACTAGTAACCAATGCCAAATCCGGCGAAACAACTGGCCGCTGTGATACAATTGTATAATAATAATAATTTGAAACTTGTAAAATAATGCAATAACTACTTTGTCCATTTGTAGTGACTGTGTAATAAAATATGTGTTCATCAGGTCTGTAACACAGAATATAACTTGAATAACCCTTATTATTACCATAATTCCCTCTTATCAAAATTAACTTCTGACAGATTAAATGGGCATTCAGATATAGTGTGTTACATGCCTATCTTTTCACCATTAGAATATATTCCCATTCCTCACCAAGGAATCTCGGGATGGGGAAGAGAGTTGCTTGGAAGATATATATTGTTCTGAAAAAAGGGGATAGGAGGAATTAGTCATTGTGACCTGCAACTGTGAAAAGGGGAATCATATGATCTGGTTATCTCTCATACCAGAGTCAGCCAAGTCTATATTTGTTTTTGTGCCTTCGAGTCAGTGTTGACTCCTGATTACTTCCTGGATTAGTTTTTGTGTTTTTGCAGTTTTCTTGGCAAGGTTTTTCAGAAGTAGTTTGTCCTTGCTTGCTTCTTCCTAGGACTGAGAAAGTGACCAGTCCAAGGTCACCTAGCTGTTTGGCACCCAAGGTGAGACTAGAACTCACAGTCTTTATAGTCTGATGCCTTTACCACTACACCAAACTGGTTTTGTGTGACTGCTCATAGGATACAATTGTAGAAAATAGTTATGCTATTTTTAAAAGGTTATGACTGCAGTGTGTGAGAAACCTTTAGGAGAAAAGTATAGTGGCTCTATTCCTGTAGTATAAGGACTTTCTGGAGATTCTTAGAGCATCTATTGTGGTTTCAAAGGATACTTGTTGAAGATCAGTTTCCCAAGCAGATTTTTAATTGCGGGGAAAGATAGTGCATATTTTTGAGCCTCTTAAGGTTTCTCAGCTCATAATCAAAAGCAATACACACAATTAATTAAAGTAATACTTCACTTAACACTTTGAATTTAGTTTCCCTACTCTTATATTCTGCCAGTTTTGATTTACTGTTTTATGGTTTTGTGTTATAAGTTCCTTTGGTTAAATTCTGCAAGAAGAGTAGTGAATAAAGGGATAAATATACATTGCATGTAATATTCAGCTGTATTCTTTTTATGCCAAAGAGGGGAAAACAATTAGTTTCTTCTAACCATATTTTCATTTGTTTTTCATTTGTTTTTCAGCTGTAATAAACGGAGCGTCCCCACTCAAAGAACCCCAAGAATTCTGGCTTGATTCCCAAACTAAGATCTTTGTTCCTATGATGACAGTAACTGGAGTCTTCAAGCATAAATACCATGCAGGACTTTCCATTGTCAAAATTCCTCTCAGCAAAAGTTTATTTTTGCTGCTCTTACAGCCTAGCAACAGCAATCAGCTACATAGCGATGATCAATATTCTTTGACACCTTCTTTGGAATGGTTCCAAGGCTTGAAATCGAAGTACGTTCACACATTCATCATAACACTAGGCACCCATAAAAACTTCATAACAATATGAACAGTTTGATAGTAGATCCAATTACCCAAGGAGGTGGTGGATAATTGTCTCCTCTTCAGGCTAGACAGTCATGTGTCTCTGGAATGCTTTAATTTATATTCTTCCACAGTGCGGAAAGTGGGATATGATGGCAGAAATGGTCACTTGCAATTCTATTATTCTAAGCAGATCTTTGTAGAATCAGGGAGAGTCCAGATGTGCTAGGTATGAGATTCTCCAATTGATGGAGAAGTTAAAGTTTAGTTTTCATCTTACCATTCATATAAGAACAACGGATTGGAAACTAATCAAAGAGAGAAACAACCTGGAATTAAAGAGAAATTTCCTGGCAGTTAGAACAATTAACCAGTGGAACAACTTGCCTCCAGAAGCTGTGGGTGCTCCAACACTGGAGGTTTTTAACAAGAGATTGGATAACCATTTGTCTAAAATGGTAAAGGGTTTCTTGCCGGAGCAGGAGGTTGACTAGACAACCTCTAGGGTCCCTTCCAACTCTCTTATTCTGTTATTATGTACCAGGGATATGTAATTTGTGACACTCAAATATCACGAGACTGGACTAAATGGGGACCTGGCCCATCTCTGGCATCACAGAATTTAGAATTTATCTCAGTATTTAAATATCCTCCAAATATAGGTAGACCTTGACTCACAATCACAGTTGAGCCCAAAATTTCTACTGCTAAGTGAGACAGTTGTTAAGTTGGTCTTGCCTCATTTTTTTACCTTTCTGGTCACAGCTGTTAAATGGATCACTGCAGTTCAGTTAGTAACACAGTTGTTAAGTGAATCTGGCTTCCCAATTGATTTTGCTTGTCAGAAGGTCACAAAAGGTGATCATATGACCCTGGGATACTGCAACCCTCATAAATATGAATCAGTTGCCAAGCATGTGAATTCTGACCACGTGGCCATGGGGATGCTGCAATGGTTGTAAGTGTAAAAAATGAAAGCGTTAAATCACTTTTTTCAGTGAACAGTCACTGATTGTAACTTCAGGATCACCTATATTTATTTTTATTCCAAACCATAATTTTCTTTAGGATTCAAGCCCATATATTACGAGAGTATCCATCCACTCAAGAATGGCATTGTAATCTGTCCTGCATTGATTTGGGTACCTAGATACAAGACACCAAAAAGAATAAGAAATTAATCAGGTGGTGGCAGTTTAAGCTGATATGATTAAGAGAAGGGACCTTTAATACACCACAGAACAAACTATTTGTGCACAACACAGAAAGGGAGCTGTGTAGCATTTCTGTGCAGAATTCCAAATAGATACAAAATCAAAGTAGATATTTGCCAAGTTACTTTAGGGAAAGTGTTGTTTTTGCTTCATCTTGATGAAAAGAGACACTTTTAGAGGACATTATACAAAGGGATCAAGTGCCTGAGCGGAAAGGAACAAGCACAGGTGTCATGTCTGAATTTGGGTGCCTTTTTTATATAGACCCTGGCATGGTTGTCACTTTAGTGCATATTTAGGAAAGGGGCACTCTCCCTTCCTCCTACACTCAATGAGAGATAACCACTACTCCCTTTGTTAAGAGAGAAGCAACCAAGTCCCATTTCCCTTCCAGTTTATAGGTGATCTCAGTGGCAAATCCAACCCTAAATCCTCCAGAAGCCCATAACCAGCACTTCTTGGAATTTATTTATTTTTATTTATTTTTTAGAATTTGTCAAACAACAATGAGAACAATAAAAGAAAAAATACGATAGGGAATGACAACTGAAGTATGAAGTGACAACTCTTTCATAATCTTGTGCTTTGCCCTTTCCCCTCCTCTTTCTTTTTCTTTTTTTCTTTTTTTCTTTTTTTCTTTCTTTTTTTCTTTCTTTCGTTCTTTCTTTCTTCTGCAGACAAATCCACTTGACTTTACCAAGGGTGTCCTTTAACAGCATATTCGACCTTCAAGAACTCCTTGGGAAACAGGGGATGCCTAATCTGCTTGGAAAAGAAGCCAATCTCAGATTGCTAAGCAATAGTAATGTGACCATTGGAAAGGTATGCTGTCGTTGACCTTTGCTCTTTGTAAGCATGCTAATCTATCGGTTTGGGCCATGTATTCAATATCCAAGGGCAGATAATATACAGTAGATCAGGGATAGGGAACCATAGCCCTTTTATGACTTGTGGACTTCAACTCCCAGAATTCCTAAGCCAGCGATAGATGGATGGATAGATGGAGAGATGGAGAGAGGGAGGGAGGGAAGCGGGGGGAGAGATGATAAATTGTGGCACAAACCATATAAGCCGAGTTGGCAGTTGAGTTTCCCAGGCTTATGGTTCTGGGGAATTTCAACCTGCCTTC